CAAAAGAATAAAAACAAACTACCCAGTCATGGCTGCAGTAGACCACCGACCCCTGTGTTCTGCAACATAAACATGATCCTTTTTGTCATTGGAGTCTGGTCACACTAAAGAGAGCAACAAAATAATACAAACAAAATGCTTTTTACGTCGCTTTCTTTATTGACACCAGACTCCATTGACAAAAACAGTCAATTTAAAGTACATAAAATAGGAGTTGATATTGTTTATTTGTTGTTTTAAAATGGCAAGTTTGCACCTAACATGATAAATGTTTAAAACAATAAAGTACCTTTAAAAAGAGAGGATGTGGTACACTAATAATTCCTGTTTTCTGGCAATAAAATGGACTTTGGTGGCTTTGAAGAGAGCGATCTCATGAATGTTTCTGGTTTGACCTTTTATCAAAATGTCTGTGTGTGCATCTTAGATTAAAAAAAGACAACACTTTAATTGCACATATTTCTTGAACGATTAAACAGCAGCCTCTGGAGCCTGTTTGGTCGCTGCATACATAATCAGTTTCATCCAGCAATTAAAAAAAAAAAAAAAGTAGCAGTGAAGCTTAAAAATACCCTCATCTCCTTTAATGGTCCTTGTTTGCAGGTGTTAAGAACGTGCACATATTTAAAGGTCTCAACAGGTGATTTAAAAGTAAATGTGATGATACCAGAGCACGTGGATGATGGCAATGTAGAAATAATGTAGGCTGATGAATATTGCAGAAGTAAGTTTTTTAATATCTAAGGTTGGTTTTTCTAATCAGCCTGTAAAATATGAATCTAAATAGCACTCACAGGTGTTTACATTCTGTATCAGCTCTTATTGTGAAAAACAGTCCACTACAAAAGTTAAAATGTGTTTTATTGTTTGATTTATGAGATTTGTAACACATCTGTGTTAATAATATTTTACTCTGGACTAGTCTGGACATAATGTTGTGTTGTAGATTAAACGTAGACACACCCTTAATCTTGTGTTTGCATATCTCTGCTCCAGCAGTCGGCCTATGAAAATAACAGCAAAGAAGTGCAGTTTTACAACACTGCATTTGCAAACGTCTTTTAATGGCATCCCGACTCACTGCCTGTATTCACACAGCTGCTCAGGAAGTGAAAATAACTTCACCTGTGAAATGTCTTCTGCATCTCCGCCTTTGTCATTGTTCGTCTGAGATGTAATAAAGCATGTCAAACATGTTCCTTTACCCTCCAGATAAAGACAAAGCTGATGAAACATGGGGGAACCTCAACAAATAAAAAGGACATAACAGGCATAAAGCTCAGTTTGACTCGCTCTATAAATATGGTCATGACCTTAAATAATAATAACAAGCTTCTCTAAATGATATCTGAGCTGATCACGGCTTCAAAACAAGTGTCACCAGTTCATGATCATAAATTAATTGTGGTGTTGATGTTTAACATTTACATTCTGGTATTATCTATCTGTTGGTTCAAACAGTAGGTGTGGCGTGTTTTAAAAAATAAAAAAAATAAAAAAAATAAAAACCTTTTGAAATGTGTTTGAAAAGTTTACTGCATGTTTAAAATATTTCCCTTTGTGACTTAGTTTTTCCCTCACTTTATTTTAGTTCTTAAATATATCTCCAAATTATAACTGAGATCTCATTGGCTTATAAACATGAAAAAGAGAGAGAAACACTAAGATGACGTTTTGATATAAATCATAATATAAACTTCATCTGTGACATCATGGAGCTGGAGGAGAAAAAGAGACGATTTAAGAAGGAGGTATTTATTGAGTTATACCAGCGTTTTAACTTTATCTTTGTATCATTTTTATACTTGATTCATTTTGTGTCAGTGTAATGGCATTAGGAAATGTTTTCTTTAAATGTGTCGTCATAATCTCATAATGAATGAGCCATTTGAGGACAGGCACAAAATAAAAGATTAATTCATTGAATTAAATACACTTGTTTTTTTAATTAAAATCCTATTAAACTCAAACTAACACTTAGCACTGAACACTAAAAGAACACTTAGACATGAATAAAAATATGAAACATCTATTTAGAAGAAGAAAAGAATAGACAATAAAAGAAGAAATACTTCATACCCCCATGCAAAGGCAAAAATGACATGTGCAAATAAAATACATTTAAAACACAAGATAACACATTTAAAACTATTGAACACACTTAAAACACAACATGCATGACAACAGAATAAAAACAGACACACTAGAACTACAGTAAAGCAGTCCACCAGGGTTTAATGGTCAACAGTGAACCGCTCTGTGCCGTATGAGTGCCAGGATTTTGGAATTTTTCTAAAAGTCATTCTCATGATCGATGTGCCCCCCATTTCAGCCACTCTGTCTGCAACTCCCCCTGACACACGCCCACACACACACCCTGCTGTCTGTCTCTCAGACATCCAAGCTGTCTTTTCATGGATCATCTTCTGCCGGTGCGTGATCTCCAACACGTTCCACGCTAACTCGTCCTCACTGCGGGGGGGGGGAGGTGACAGCTCAGGACTCTTTGGCCTTGAGTGACAGCACGGCATGACAGGTCAACAGTCGGCCTCACCCCCCCCCCCTTCATCTCAGTGCATCCACACCTGTTTTGTGATCCACAGCGAGGCTTATTTTAATCCTCGGGGTTGATAAATACAGTGGAGCAAAAGTGAAATGTCCGTTTTGAAGGCTAAATTCATTGACAACCCCCACCACCACCGCCAGCCACCAAATCCTCCACCTCCACTCCCCCCCTCTTAGCTGAAGCACCATTATGGCTTTTCAGACTCCTTCCTGTACAGTGTTTTTATTTCTTCGTCTGCCCTCCACACAAACACAAAAGGTGGCTGCCTTGGCTCTGGGGGTGTAGCACGTTTTTGAAAGGCTAAGGGCTTTCAGGAGCTGCCCTGGTTCAGGCTTCTGTTAGTCTGACCAAGAGAGGAGTGTACAAGGGGAATGAAGGCCAGGTTTGTGTAATGGCCTCCCTCCTCTCCCCAGCCGAAGGTCACGGAGCTTTGTTGGCCAGCGGAGGTCTAAAAGACAGACCTTTGAAGGACCACAAAGCGGAGGTTTGGCAGGACTAATGAAACTCAGAGCTGCACGTTAATGATCTAAAAGACTGGACCAAAACACTCAGCAGTCCCTTTCCGCTCCCATTCAGCTCCTCTTGATCGCTCCTTCCAAATAATGACAAGGCACTCTCCTCCTCTACCTTTATTGTAACCTTTGATGTCCGCCTTGTTTTTCTTTGTGTCAGCGTTCCCCCCTCCCTGCTTTTCATTCCTTTATGCTTCGCGGCTGTCACTCATCTATTAAGGCAACAAATGGAACAAGGAAAACATTCAGAGCCGTGTATTGTGGTGCACCCACAGGTTTGCTCTTTATTTCTTTTGAAAGCACTTGAACTTGGAATTTTCCTTGGGCTGCCCATTGAATCAGCAGGATAAACTTTTTTTTTGTGTGTGTCTATTGTCGCAGGATTACAAACATATTTGTTTTATAATCCCCAACTCTTGTCCTCTGCGGACAAATGTTTCTATATGACTGTTTCTTTTTCCATTGTATTACTTAAAGGACAATTCCAGGACTTTTTTTTGTTACCTGGGCCCTCTTTTCCCTCCTTCTACATGTACACATATTACATTGTTTCCTCTAAACAGAAAGGATCCTTACAGAGAGAAACCTTTCTGTAACCTGAAACAGTTGAGATATAGCCAGTGGTTTTATCCTGCAGACAGCAGTATGTTGCTGGTCTATTTTTGCCTTTATTAGTTAATTTATTGGTGTTATTTAAACACATATTTAACATGCTTATTTCATATTGTTTCTTCAGCAGAAAGTGGTTTCAGTAAACCTAAATGTCTTTCCTAAAACTTGTGGCCAAATTCAAAGCTGATAATGTTGTTTATTTTCATTTTCAAAAGATGTACTTTCTATTTAAAAGGTTTAACTGACTAGTATATTATTTACTGTTGTCTTTGTCCTGATTTAAGAGGTTCAGAAAAATAGAAACTCAACAAAAACCGATGTCTGGCTAACTTTTTAGTAAACAAAAAATGCATTTAAATACTGACTACGTTCAAATATCAGGAACGTGCAGCCGGCCTCCTGATTTAGCTGCTTAAGGTCATAAGGCCTTAGTGCAGCCCTTTGACACGGCCTGATTGTGTATGGCTGGAGAGCTGCTGGATGGGCTATGTGAGATGATATGTGTTTTCCTGGAACTTCTGTGTGTGTGTGTGTGTGTGTGTGTGTGTGTGTGTGTGTGTGTGTGTGTGTGTGTGTGTGTGTGTGTGTGTGTGTGTGTGTGTGTGTGTGTGTGTGTGTGTGTGTGTGTGTGTGTGTGTGTGTGTGTGTGTGTGTGTGTGTGTATATATGTGTATATGTGTGTGTGTGTGTGTGTGTATGTGTATATGTGTGTGTGTGTATGTGTATATGTGTGTGCGTTGAACCAGTGTGCCGGGCCTGTTGATTGGCCTTGATTAACTGACTGCCAGGCACTAGAAGCAGAGCTAGAGCCTCTATAATGTAGCATCTTGAGCTGGTTATATCCAATCATTCCACAGGAGACCTTGAACCTGGACCTCCATGTGTGTGTGCGTGTGTTTGTGTGTGTGTTTTGTAGAGGAAAAACACACACAATGCACAGAACTTTTTCATGGGATGAAAGCTTTATCGCTTTTGTAAACAAGGTCCTTTGGTCTGCTGAACTTATAGAGAATGAGTCAAATTCAAATCAAACTGAGAATTAGCATAAGCATCAGAATTAGCATCTTTAAAGGCCACTGAGCTGAAAAAGGGAACCTCTAAGCACTGAAAGATGAATTATGTATAAAAACATCATTCCAGTATTCACATTGTAATTCTCTGTCTTCTGCCACCATTACCTCCTGATTCACATATTCTTCGGTCCTTTTCCTCCCATGTCTCTAACCTTGCTGTCCAGGGAACGTCCGGTGCTATTCACTGAAAAAAAAAAATCATGTCTAAAATCACCGTGTGTTTGTGTGTGCCTGCAGCCAAGCTGAGCAGCCAGGATTCTTACAACAACTTCACCAACAACAACATGGGGAACCCGCGTCTGTCCCCGCTGCCCAGCCTCACCGTGGTGCTGCCGCTGGCTCAGATTAAACAGCCCATGACCCTGGGCACCATCACCAAACGCACCGGGTAGGTCACACACACACACACACACACACACACACACACACACACACACACACACACACACACACACACTTCCAGTAAATACACTCCTCTGCCTCCATATATATATACCCACATATAAGGTTTGAAGCACATGTGTAATGCAGCATAGGTCTCTAGAAGGACACTTGTCACTATGAAAATGTCATTTGTTGGTCCCAATTTAAAAAAAAAAAAAGAATATGATCCAGTTCTGGGATCCCTAAAACTTCTTAAAAAGTCTCAAATTAGATATTTAAATCTAAGGTCCTAAAATGTCTCAAAATGTCTTATCTTCACCCGTGACTAAATCACAACCTCTTGGAGCTTTGAGTTAAAATTAACACGTTTTAAATCAAGGGAGGCCAGTGTTTCCCCTAGGTTTACAGGACACGCCGACAAACGCTTGAAGGAATCTTGGTGTTCATGGGTTACTTTTAATGACAGCTGTCCTTTTCTATCAGAAAGTTAGACTTAACTTAACTTAAATGGCTTCTTTCCCTGATTTCTGACTCTATCCACTATCCTATCTCTACAATAAAGGCACAAAAATCCCAACAATAAATCTTTAAAAAAAAAAAAAAAATGGTAGGGGAAACACTGGAGGCGTTTTAGACTAGAAAGTTATTTCTTTCCTTCAGGATTGCAGGACACAAGCCTTCACCTCTAGATGTAGTTTGCTTGGTTGTCAATGAACGTGGAAGAATATGAAAAATTAACACATCAAATTAGTCACTATATAACAATTTAAGTGTCTTTTTTTCATCAATTTTACCAACGTTATAATGTGTTTTCAATGGTTTTAAACCAATAATGAAATGATTTTTCACTCAAAAAAACAGAGTGAAATGAATTGTTTCTTTAAATATGTTTAATAAAATAATTTTAAAATGACCCCTGAAGGAATGGGCTTCTCTGTTTGCACAATAAAAGTCCTAAAAAATATTGGTAATTGTTGAGATGCTTCAGAGCAGCTGTTTCTGTTAACAATATAACCACTGACTCCTAACAACTGCAGGTCGGCTCTTTGTAGGACTCAGACTTCCAGTAGTATCACAATTTAGATAAATATAAAAGCTTTGATTTGAATGAATAAACTACACTCTTGTCCTTTCAGTCAATTTGGTCATTCTAAAAAAACAACTCCCTTTGTATAATAATGTCCGTCCGAAGTGGATCCTTTCAAACATAATGTGTCCACAGGGCTGAGTGTAAAAGGTTTGTTTTGAAACCTCTCTAAAGGTACAGTTTGGCCGCTGTGGAGGATCATTTAAATCACACTGTAAGACGTGTGTACCTCCAGTCTGTGATTTGCTGTCTTTCCCCATTCATCACGCTATAAAAACACTGTATTGTGTCAACAGTGGCCTTGTGCAGGCCAAAGCTTTTTCCTCTCACACATCCAGCTGATGCTCATGGACTCCTTTTGTCTCAGGCTGCCACCTTTTTGCATAGGGTAATGAAGCACAACACACACGCGATACTTGTTCTCTGGGAAACCGATAAAACACATCATGTGCATCGAGAAGAGAAATAAAATCTTGCTTAAAGTTTTCTGTCTTATTGAAGTTGTATTAAACGCAGCGTGGTCCTAAGATCTTTGAGTGTTTTAACAAGTTTGATTTTTAAAGTTATGCAGCTCCGCTCTCATGCACACTTTTTTATTTTTTTTAAAAACTTGGATCCATGCCATGCATTGAAATCATGTAGCTTTAAGAACATCAGCAACTACAGGCCTTTGCTAAGTGCATTTACATAGAGTACAGGTGGCTCCATAAATATGGGCAGATTTCAATAAATTCATTTAAATGTCATTTTCATGCCCTGTTTGAATGGGGAATGGTGTAATGATCCAAACAGACGAAGATGAGGGATTTATTTCCCCCTCTGTGATATTTGATAAAGGAGCTGTGGGGATGAAAATACAGCCGTGAACGTGCAGTCAACATAAACAACATCAGGACTTCTTCCAAATTCACTGAGACCACCTCCTCGGTTCATTTGGTTTGTAAAATGCATGATTGCTTATGGGCTTCTGTGGTGTCCCTATAATGACGGGACATTTGTTATCATACGCCGGTCCTGGTGGTTTAGCATTTGGGTATAGCAGTTGTAATATTTGACTTCATCTAAGCTCCTCAAAATAGGTGTGTTTTATTTTTGACCATCAATAACAGCTCTCAGGTTAGTTCTTTCTGCCAGGATTATCATTTTATCAATGAAATAAAAAGTTGTTTTCCTTTTTTTCAATCCTGTGATGATCTGAACGTTTATAATGTGTCTTAATTTGTCCATATTGTGCCTTAGTTTGGGTGTCTCACCCTGTGATTTCCTGTATTTTTATTGCCCTACCTATACCTGTCATTTGCTTCCATTTTCAGCGCCACTTCAGTGGCTACAAAAACCTCTGGTTTAGTTCAGTTTTGTATCGTCACTAGCGGTAAGCCTCAGGGCGTGATCACTTCAGATTGATTGCTTTGCCTCAGTTTCAAACAGTAATCAGTACTTCCATTTCTCTCAACATCTTGAGGTGACGCTCTTCTAAGAAACTGCTCATCTGTCGCTGAGTTTTGCTGTAAACATTATGAAAATGGAGCCAATACATCACATATAGTGCTTTCACACATGCACAAAACTGCTGAGAAGCTGCCAAAGTTTTCATGGTGAGCCGCATGAGTGAACGCAAAGAGCCAAATTTTGTCACTCTGACTTCATCCAGAGTTTCAGTATGAAGAGAATATATACCTGCCTATATATATGCCTTTTTTCCATTTTGAATTTGGCATTTTTTAATCTGTATCAGCTACACAGCACCTCAGGTTCTTTAGACAAACAATGTGAAACGTTTTCTAGCTTCAACGGGAGCCAGAAGGAAAGACCAAAGCCAACATCGTGGTACTCTCTCAGCACATTGTTACTTCTCTTCACTGTTAATGACGTTTAAAACCAATTGTTCCCTGTCGTAGATTATAGTTGAAAGTCTTTAAAATCAGGTGTTTGTCGACTTATTATATATATATGTGTAAAACAACAAACACCTCAGCATGAAAACAAGACTTAAAACTCAATGTGAAGAAAAATGTGCAGACAAAACAAGACCTGAATCCTGTTTTTATAGAGAAGGAATCATGACAGGACAGAAGTATGTGGCTTGATTCATTTTAGCAAGATGTGTCCAATATCCTATTTCATTTAAAAAATGACATTTTTCTTGAACTGTTGGTGATTTTGAACAAACGCTTCTCAGTTGTGAGGAAATTGTGCATATGCAACTTTTCTTGACAGATGACCGCAATACAATTGTTTCTTTTGGACTTGTTTTTGGGCCTTTGTGAGCTGTATGTGGGTGTTGATGGGAGAATGTCACCCAGTGCGGTTCATTGATGTGTTTTAATCGTCTGTGTACAACAATAGAGCTCTATGACATCAAGGAATACGTGTAACAATCGCGTCATTGTTTTTTTTTCAGGAAGTTTGTTGACAAAATGTAAAACATAACAACAAAGCCAGCTTTTTTTAGTGTAAGAATTCAACACACATCCCCAGTAAAGGCCCTGAAACAGCTGCAACAGCTCTTTAGGACCTTATGAGAGCCGTTTGGCTGCTTCAGTTCTCCTTCATGCATCCATTCAGTCCAGAGGAGGCGTCAGTATTAATGCATCAGGACATGCAGCTGTGCGGCCTGCTCCTGCATGCACACGGCTGCACCAATTCACCAAAATTACAAAATTACAAAATTACACACACACACACACGCTGACACACAGTGAGTGAAGCAGCAGGTTTGGCCCCTGGAGTGGGGGGTGATATCATATGGTTTCACGCTATACTCGCACAGGAGTGCAGAGGCACCATCTGTCTGTCTGTGCAGACAGTAGTCCCTCTCTTTTTTGAGTGTGTGTGTGTGTGTTTGTGTGTGTGCATGTGTGTGTGTTATAAAGAGAGAGAGAGAAAGAGGAGCGTCCGGCAGCTGTATTTACACCTGTATGAGCAGATCCCTGTTGGCAGGGCGGCAGAGGAACACACCAGCTGCTTAACCTACATTCTCTACCAGGCTGTCTTTGTGTGCACTGTGCCATGACACACACACACACACACACACACACACACACACACACACACACACACACACACACACACACACACACACACACACACACACACACACACACACATGCACACGCACTCACACACGTTGATGAAGCTTTCAGCCCATTTGTGTGACTGGGTCCACTGCAGAGATTTCGTAGACCCTTATCAGACCACCAATGTGCAAAATTCTGCTGTTTGTCTTCAAAATTGTAACATCAAAGAAAACCTCAACAAGATCTTGCCTCTCTGTCAGTTTAGATTTGAGGGTTTGTGTGTGTGTGTGTGTGTGTGTGTGTGTGTGTGTGTGTGTGTGTGTGTGTGTGTGTGTGTGTGTGTGTGTGTGTGTGTGTGTGTGTGTGTGTGTGTGTGTGTGTGTGTGTGTGTGTGTGTGTGTGTGTGTGTGTGTGTGTGTGTGGGGTGGGGGTTACAGTCGGATGTGTCTCAGTATCCGCCTGATAACCCCCCCCCCTGCAGACGAGGCCAGGTCAGAGAAGAGAGTGAAGAGGAGCACAGCCAAGCTTCTGCTAGTCCTCAAGGCCTCCTGGGAGTCCCGAACAAGGAGAGGAGTGTCGGCTCTGACCCGGCCTCTTGTTTCCTGTCAGCCATATTTGGCACAAGGTTGGCCCCAGTTGAATTAAATCCCGGGGAAGAAGGGAAAAAAAAAAAGACACAGAATCAAAGGATTCTCTCTTGGTGAAATGTTACTGTCAGAAGTTAATCTGTGAAAAAGATTACGAGAGAAACACTCAAACAGCTCCGAGGACTGTCGGCTTGTCCCTACACTGACCAAAGTTGTGTAAGGATAGATTTAACTTGTCAAAAATGCCTGACAGGGATAAAATTTGGGATTTGCAAGCAGACAAACTATTGCACACTTATCCCCTTCTACACAC